CATTAACCCTTTAATCAAAGCAGTCTTGCTCAAAAGAGAGAAAACATTTTAAGTAATACAAGCTGTTAACTATATTTTGTATGGGAGAGTTTCACATGATGGCAATGTGTATATTTATAGTAACATCTAATATTCAATCATCCTGTTGCTATGCAGTCTTGCCAGCAGTATATCTAGAAGAATACGATTACAGCAGCTAATTACAAGCTACAGCAGGAGCTTTTTTTTCCAGTCCTAAATATACTGAATAAAATCCTTCATATAGAATGTCGTCATTGATAAATTTGAAGGAGCTTTTAATAAAGCATAGGTGCATTAGTCTTTCGTATGTTAGTATTCTAGCCATCTCCCATCCACAAGTTATAGGGCCAGCTTTTGGTTTTAACTGTTTATTGCACACAGAAATGCTAATTTATGGGAGGATACTTGCAGGCCGAATCACTCATTGACTTCTTAAATCTTTTTGGAGTTTCAGTTTTAAAAACTCCCCGCAGGAAATCTTTGGTTTGCCCCCCCACAGGGCCTGTGACCATGATTCTACCTGCTACGACAAGTCGATTTCCACTGTTCTTGCTGTGTTTGCTTTAAAGTAACCTGAAGGAAAACTCCTTTTTTGCTAAAACAAAATATATAACCTATATCATTACTACACAATCCATTTTGTGATGTAGAGCTATTAAAAATACCTCTCCATTTCAGTTTGCCGTTGTAATTTTTTCAAAACTAAGTGAAACTATATCAAACAACAGCAATCATGTTTGTGTTCTTGTGTGAATGGTTCCCTGCTCTTCGCAGTATGGGGTTTAAGGTGAAATTTTAGGCACCCAGAGCAGTGATCATAGGTTTCTTGCAGTGAGTCTTTCATCTTTTGTGATGCACTGGCCAAGGTGGTGCATGTCTGAGAAGGTGACAAGACGCATGACATTGAGGAATTTGGTGCCGTGGTCAAGCATGCTTTCAGTTGAAATTAAGTTTTCTAAAATCTGTGGAGTGTACATACCGTAGAAGGGGGAATTTAATTTTTTTCAAGATAATTGAGTTTAACTTTTATTAAAATAAAAAAAAAAAGCTTCCTTCAGATTGGCAACGGTATGTTGGCCAGACCGGCTGTTTGAGTACAGTTTTCTGTCTTGTGAGGCATTTGAGGTCAGTGGTTGATTCAACCAATTAACATCTACCCAAAACAAAAAATTTCAGTTTTGGGTTTACTTTTTTCCCAACTTTTGAATGTTCCTTTCCAAATTAAAATGAAAACATAATATCCAGAGGTCACCAGAGACACTACATTGTCTGGCTAAAGTGGCAACTTTTTTTGTAAATCTGTCATTTATGTGCCAGTGTTTTACACAAAGGGGTTCTACAGCAGTTACGTACAATACACCTTGCTCGGGGTGAGGCATTCCCAGCCCCGCCCCTAACCTATCCCCAAGCTAGTGTAAAGGAGGAAGGGAGGAGCCTCCCTGTCCCTCACTTGCTCCTCACTGCTGAGGTGCTCCGTCCATGGCAGGTTACACAGCGGGCAGGATTTCCCTGTTGGGTAACCTGTTAGATGCCGATCTGAATGGAGAAAAAGCTGTCAGCTTCAGACATGAAGCGGACAGCTTTTTCCTCCATAATTCTAGGCGAGGCTCTGCCTCCCCTGACCGCACTTCCCTTTTCTACAGAGTTCTCTTGTTGAATAGTCCGGTTTTAATGGAGTGTCCTCTTCAGCATAATAGTGCCTTGTCAGTAGTTAAATGTCAGGACATATACGTTGTTATATCTAAGAGCACTGGCATTGATGTAGTGAGTCACATATCAGTCTGAAATGCTCAGGAGAAGTGTCATGATTGTTTTTCTTCAGACAAGCATGAACTTCTTAAACTGATGCATTGTGTGAAGACATGTCACATTGCCCTTCGTTTCCCTGATCTCAGGACTGCTATTTTTACCTACCCTCCCACATCACTTTCTGACAACAGCTAATGAAGGATTTTAACACAATCAGCCCACTTATTTGATCACTGAATTTAACCTAAGAGCTCTTCTCAAATTACAGTGGTATAATTTAATACAAAACTATTTACGCGATTGTGCAGTTCTTTTTTATAGTTTGCATTTTGTTGTCAGTAAATTCTATCTCCAGGGTAGACAAGCCAGTTGCTGAAATACATTTCCTCTGGCTTAATATCATGGCAAATGCAGTTTAGCTGCAGTTGTAGAATGGAATGTTTTCCATTCCTAGCAACTTTGATGTGGAGTTACTCTGTCCATATGTAACTGTTGAAAGTACACAGTAAAACATCTCTGTCAAACTTGACCGTTTGCAACCTTAGGGTTGAGCTCTTAATATTTTTTTACAGCACAAGCCACGTTGCAGCAAGACGCACCTTTTTTAATGTGATTTGGTTATTTATCATGTTGCATATCAGTCCTTATATCTGTGGAGCTTTCCTCTACCAAGTGCACATCCGCATTTGGACTTGTTCAACTAGTTGAACCATTTGAAAACCCAGAAACAAAAATGTAATATTTTGCAGCTTACCATTTCTTTGGTCTCTGCATTATTTTATTTTTTTTCCTTTCCTTGGGCAGTTCTTCCCCCTTTATTTTCACCTGGTTATTATGTGACTAACACTTCCTGTCCTTGGGTGGCAACGTTTACCTGCTCCACTATTGAAACATTTCTTGCTGTTTATAATTGCCTGATAATGATCTAAAGCAGGGGTGGGGAACCTCTGGGCCACGGAATCGATTGGTTTGGCCCTCCGGCTACCCTAGTATGACCTGCAGACTGGAAGGGGTGATCCGCCCCACCCCGCCTGCAGCGTTGGACACATTAGGCCCAGCTCACTCCATCCCTCCTTTCCAATCCTCTCCTCGCTTCCTGTCGTCCTCTACTCCCTGCCACGTGCAGCACCTGGAGCTGCTCAGCCCGCACTGACAGGCTGTATCTGCTGGCTGACATAGAAAAATTTGTCTGTGGAGGTGTTTCTGCATGTTATCTGCATGTCATTGCAGTGTCACTCTCAGGTGAGCTGTGCGGGGTCTCAGGTGGGCAACATTATTAATAATACCAGCCAATATCAGGCACCAAAGAGAAACAGTTCCAGCCATCCCATTAGGGGTGAGTTAATGAAACGTTTGACCAAATATAGCACACTAATTTTTAGTTGATAATTTTGTATGACCCGTGAATGATGTTATAAATATCCAAATGGCCCTTGGCAGGAAAAAGGTTCCCCACCCAAGGTCTAAAGAGACTCAATTATTATTGTCTCTATCAGACACAATAAAGTTCACATGAATCAAAGATTGAATATGTGCTGACCATAAGGCCTTGTGTCAATGGGCAAGTATGTGGGCATGCAAAACCCACTCAGGGCAGGTTAGAATGGAGTCAGCTGTCGGTCTGGTGCGATTCCCTGGGATCGGCACTGTGACTGCAAACGCAAACCTGGGGCTGTGCATTGTAGCATGGTCAATAGTGGTGAATCCAGCCTGTTACGCTGCCATTTTCAAGTTCTCCGTCCTAAAAATAGGAAGTAAATGCAAGCTGTTCAAATATCTTCTGGATGTAGCTTTTGTAGATCTCCATTAGGTAATCTACAAAAGCTACATCCAGAAGATATTGAAATAACTCGGGAGTAACTCGGGCTTGCAGTGTTGCCAGCTGGTAAATATTGTATCGCACCTCTGTGGTTATAATGTTACTGAAGATCTCACTTAAGTCAAATGTGTTTGGATGACATCTGCCAATGGTGTTCACGTTATCCACAGGGTTTTTTTAAGCATGTTTTATAGATTTACAACTTGTGATCCTATAGGTTATGTTATTTTAAGATGCTATTTAGTAATTTGACCTATAGCCAGTTTAAAAAAAAATTTTTTTAATTGATGTCTGTGATCACATTGGGGAGACCTTTCTTCCCGTGTTATCACTAGCCTAGAAAGTAAAAGGAATCTGTCAGACGTACAGAATACTGTTAAATCATATGCTTTAGTAGACCTAGAAAGGGTTACAACTTCTGTCTATTTATGTTCCTGTTGGTGTTCCCTTCCTGTGCTGTCACTGGGAAAGAAGGTTTATAAGCATGTACACCACAAAAACTGAGAGAGGTTTTACCCTCTTTATTAAAAACTTTATAAAAAAAAAAGGTTGTAGTTTTGCTTTAAAGATGGGACAAATCTAATATGACACAGGTTCCTAACTTGGCAGGACTACTCAATTTTTTATATACAATTAGATTCCCGAGCCTTCATTAAACAGGTCTGCCAGTACCTTTACAAACCTGCATGGATAATTTCTTGACATGTCAGGATATACAGCAACAGTAGAGTTCTCTGCCAGTGGGGAAATGACACTTGTGCGTCCAAAGAATTTGGAAACATGAAAGTGGTTTTGCGTGTTTTGACTTTTCATGTTACATTTTTTTATTTAAAATTGTGTTTATATAATATTAAATCCATTAAAAGACTTGGCTTCCATATACATTTATGAACCTGGCAGTTATCAGCATGCTTTTCTGGTCTCGTATACATCCACATGGGAAAAAAACAAGTTTATTAAAGGGAAACCCGCATCATGCCATTATGGCAAAATGCAAGTTGTATTTTATGTCTTTGCTGCACTTAATCTCATTTAAGAACACATTTTGCAATAGCTTGTGCAGAGTTTATAATAGCAGAGCCATTTAGAGGTCTAATTAAAACCCAAGAGTTTCATCTCAGTGTTTCTATGTGGGAGGGATTTTACTATGGCGATGGGCTAATCACCAAAAACAAACAAAAAAGTGTTGCAATCTGTAACCACCTTAAATAAAGATCATTGGAAGCTACTGGAATCAGTCATATATCTATGCCCATCGCCATCATTTCTTGTTCTTTGTTGACAAATGAAGCAAAGAACGGTAAGCTATTATTTGTTCAAGGGAACAGCTTTGTCTGTTTCTGGTTCAACACTGCTTAGTTATGACATGCTTGGGAGGACTGGAAATGGTAGAGAGCATGTCTGCCATTTAATAGTCAACATTTGATTTGGTTTTCTAGTGTAAAAACTAGGGATGCACCGATACTAGTAGCGATGTTGAGTATTTGGGCGAGTACTCACCCAAATGCTCCGTTGCCTAGCACGATACCTCAGGTATCAGGAAGCCGGGCAGCTTGCAATGTTTTGCTCCCTCGTCACCTCATGACAAGGGAACATGGAGCTGGCTTCCCGGCCGACCAGGAAGCCGGGCGCCACGTCATTACATGGCACCCGGCTTTCTGATTGGCCAGAAAGCCGGCTCCGTGCTTTCTCGGCACCTAGTGACGTGAAGCATGGGGACGGCTTCCCTGCGAGTCATTACACTCCGCCTGGCTTCCTTAATGGGTCTTTCGGTATCGGCGAGTACCGGAAAAAAAATATCGGTACTCGCTACCGAAATACCGGTATTTGTGCATCCCTAGTAAAAACCGGTAATGTGTGTCCCAGAGTATACAATATGACCCCAACAGAAGTAAACTTTAAAGTGGAATGCCCATCAACGTCTTTTTTTGATGGCCAAAGCTCGCCATATACTGGTAGATTTTTGCATGAATGTTTATACGAAAAATCTCATCACAAATTTGATGAATGATCGAAAAATAAATTTAAAAATTTGATTTTGAACGAATGGAGTTTCTCAAACAAAAACCACATTCACGGTTTTCAGAATTTCAGTCATTTTAATTCTCCAGCCTGCTTTTTGATTTTTTTTTTTTGCCCCCATCACTATGGTCAAAAACATTAGTTGGTTTGACCCCGTTAACTATTAGAAAATCAAACAAATATTCCAAAAACAAATTTTCCCAAACTAATTTCTACATGTATATGACCAGTAAGTCTTTACATGTGCCTATTACAGAGGCAGATCATCCTACAATAGTACTTTGTAGGGATGCACCGATACTGGTATTTTGGTACCGAGTACCGATAATTTTTTTTCGGTACTCGCTGATACCAATTACCGAGTAACGGAAGTCCCATTCAGGAATGCTAGGTGGTGTTTAATGACTCGCCACCTGGCTTTCTGATTAGCCGGGCAGTGTGTAAAGAGTCGCCACCCGGCTTCCCGATTAGCAAGAAAGTCCCCTCTTACCTTAGTATGTGCAGCCTGTCACCCCCGGGGCCTCTCCAGCGAGAACGCGGCCTTCGCACATACTAAGGTAAGGTAACCTTACCTCACGAGGCCAGCTTCCTGATTGGCAAGCTTCCCGACCAATCAGGAAGTCATTACACGCTGCCCGGCTTCCTGATTGGCCGGGAAGTCGGCTCCATGCTCTCTCATCACAAGTGACGAGAGAGCATGGAGCCGCTTCCCGTCAATCGCGAAACCGGGCAGCGTGTAATGACGGGCTGCCCGGCTTCCTGATACCGGAAGTACTTGTGCTAGGCATCGGAGCATTTGGGCGAGTACGAGTACTTGCCCAAATACTCGGAATCAGCACCGATATCGATACTAGTATCGGTATTGGTGCATCCCTAGTACTCTGTGTATGTAATGCTTTCCAAACATGGTTGCCCACCAGGAGAATTACTGTAATTAAATGTAGTTCTTTGTGCACCAATGTAAAGTGACACAAAACCCAACAATGGAGGAAGTGTATACTGAACTGCTCAGCTCAGTGCTTATTGCGGCATCCTTACTGTTAGAGGTCACTTGGGGGAGGAAAGGTGACTGCATGATTTACACTCGTGTACATTCACCTACATGATGGTGATTTGTTTTATTTTGTAATGTTGCTGATGTTACTCTCATTTTTAGAGCACTGGAACTATTTTGGCTCAGATGAGAATCTCGGTCCTGTAGCTGTAAGCATTCGGAGAGAAAAACTGGAAGATGCTAAAGAAACTGGTCCCCAGTATAATTATCGAATGATTTTCAGAACTAGTGAGGTGAGTATATCTGGATGTTTACTGTATTATATGAATGCTTAAAGAATTAACCATAAAGTATATTTTATTGCACATTTATTTTTTTGATGTACTGCATTGATTTGCATATAGCCTTAACCTTTTATCCCATAGTTCTCCTAAGGGTCACAGGAGGACATATACTAACCTCCTCTCCTGACCCAAAGCTCAGTATATCGCAAACTACAGCTCGCGATATACTGAGAGCACCGCAGCCGGGACGGATCCTGACAATGATGTTGAGATCCACCCAGCTGCGTGAGTGACAGCTGGCTCTGCCTATCTAGAGGCAGAGTCAGCTGTGCCCGTCCCCTCCCCCGTCCATTCCTCCTGTCAGCGCTGGAGGATCAGAGCGGGGAGGGGGGAATCTCTGCGGGGAGTGGCGTCTGACAGTTACCGCCGTCTGCAGGGAGATGATCGGAAAGTGAGCAAGCGACGGTATGCGTTCGCTCACTTCCCGATCTACAGAGTCGGCCTGTGTCAGTTCCATTGTCATAAGTGGGCTCGGGCTATGAGAGTGAGTGAAAATCACTCACCTCATAGTTCTCCTTTAATGTATTACACTCTCCCACCATTGTCTGTGAAGCATGAAATTGCATGATATTTTTTCTCAGAAGTAATCCTTCCTGAATCAGTTGAGTGAAGATGCAACCTCTAGCTCTTAATGTTATCCTTTTTATGCAGTCCAAGTTCCCCACAACTTGGCTGATGGTTCAATGTGGTGCACATACAATCATGCAAGAGATGTTAAAATCTTTTGCTTTTATTGAAATGTGTATGGTTATCCCAAACAGTCCCTAGGTGACTGTAAACAGGTGTATTCTCAGTATTCAGTAAAGGATGCTTATTGCATTGTCTGACATACAGATGACGCTTTTTATTGTTGTGAAAATAAATCATTTTCAATTAAGCTGTACAGTGATTGATTTTATTTTAACCTGAAAATATGCAGTTAGTTTAATATGTAATTGCACCATTTGCCTTTGAACCCTTCTTATAATGACCCTAGAGTGTTCCATTATTTCCCGAGAGCTTCAGTTGGGGTTAATTTATATCTTTGTGATATTCTGCATTGCAGTGTTTAGTTTTACCACAGGTAAATGCAGGAGTGTTCAAACATATACATTCATATCTTTTTATGACTGGAGCAGGTCATGTGTATATTGACGGGAGCAGGGCTCCCGTCAATATACTTTGCTGACTTTGAGAGAAATCAAGGCCCTGTTTACAGGCTGGGCTTAGGATCTAAGTGGTTCCATGTGGACACGTGTAGTTAATAATTTGGCAGCAGCACAAGGATGTCTGCACCATTGTTAACCTTTAGTCCCTTTTGGATCAGGTTAGTTTCACTTATACACATTAAATGAATCTTCAGTGGTTGTTAAAAGTACATGGTAATGCTCAATAGTACATGTGAACATATACTGATTTGCACATAGATAGGAATGAACCTTAATAGATGTCATCTGGCAGTATCTGGCATTGTGAATTGATCATGCAAATATAACCTCCTTAATACAGCAAGCATGCCACAGATTGATAGGGTTGTTGTTGTAATTTACATTGGGATGTATGCACCAAAAAGTACCCAGTTAGCCCTTAGTAAGATGTTTCCACTAGAGGCATGTGACCTGTAACTTATAACTATGTGTAGTTGAGGTGAACAGTCCAGCTGTCTATATTCTCTGAGAATGTGACAAAAGAAGGTGTGGGTTTACATGTCTTCAGGGTACATTCTTGTAGGAAATGGGATCTGTAATTGAAAAAGGAAATTATCTTAAAAAATGGCCCTCCAGCTGTAGATGTCTGTCTACATTCACTGCAAACAACGCAGTCTACAAATACATTTCTTACAGAACGAGCTGTTCTTAAATAAGCCAGTTTATCTTTTTTATGGCCAAGATGTATTGCTGGTTAAAAATTTACATTTCAAAATATTGACAGACCTTTGGAGAGATCCAATCAAATAATCTGTTTATTCTTTGATTGAATTATTTCTATTTTAAAGTAGAGAATACAATTGTACATGAATTGCAGTACAAATGATCAGGCCAACTAATATTTAAATAACTATTACACATGAATAATATACTGTATAATAATATAAAAAAGTTAAAAAGAAATAACAATAAAAAAAAGATGATAGATATATAGTGTGAAGTGCAAAATCTAGCTATTTTATTCAGTTGTCCAGACGTCCATTAAAGAAATTGCCCCTCTCTTGCTCTTCTGGTATTTCTTCAGGAAAATCTGCAACAGGGACACAGACATCAGTAGAGAACTGACAAGGAACTCTAGCCTTCCCACACTCTACTACTGTTCTCTTCTGTTGTCGCCAGGACAGAAAGTCCCGGCCAGTGCACCATTTAGAAAAGAAAAAAAAAGAACGTGAACAAAGATCTCTCTAATGGAGCTGTGTAAAGATGACATGGGTTTTAACCCTTTCCCACTCTATCCCAATAAAAAAAGAGTTTTTGCTGAATGTATACTTCAAGGTGGTACAGTTGGCTTCCTGTTCAGTAACCATACCATCATCTTATACCAGCTGTCATTTGACGGCCTCCTTTGCCTAGGAAAGCAGCTACGTTAGAACATTACTACAAAGCATAGTTAACTTTATTATAAGTTCAGTTCTGTGAAAGCGAGTTTATTTTTGCATACAAAGCTGTTACTGTTGATGCTAATTCTTTCACATACTTTGTAAAACTTTCTTTTTGTGGGGCAGGTTTTAAAGTAAAAATATTTTTCATTATTAGACACATGTACAAAAGTAGAAGTGGTTTGTTTTCTTCTGCCTGTGTCTCAGGGCTACATTTTCATTTACTTTACCCTATATTATTTTCTTTAGTTTTTATGTTTTTCTGACCTTTTAAAAATGTCCATAAGTGCCTTGAAGCTTGAAATTGAAGTGATGGCAGTGTGAAGGTACCCTTCTACCTTCTTAAAGAAGTATACAAATGCAACCAGTTCATAAACTATGATTCTCATGATTAAAAAAAGTTCTCAAATGCTGTCAAGGAGCTTTATCTTCAGTCTTAGGACTAAGTGCCATAGCGTGAAAGTATCAAGGCTTGTTTTTGTTCTTGCTGTAAGGTGTTTTTTTTAATAAAGACTTTTGGTGCTCTACTCCAATTTGTGGATACTATTTGTGCATATTTATCAATGTACAGCTGGGCAAGACTGATGAGTTGGAAGTAAGGAGGCAGCGTGGATTAACGTTTGCGTACAAGAAGCCTTTTGTTCTGGTGCCATGTGCACATATTTGTTGTTGTACCCAAAATTGCGTTGCAGTATTAATTGTATTGGAAAATAGGGATTTGCTGTTCCGGTTGAAGTTACATGATTATACAACACATACTTAATCCTACATAGTGGACCTATGGGGTATGCTTGCTTCTGGTCCACTCTTAGCACATCTTTGAGATTCTCTTTGTTATGCACAGACACATTTACTTGACATTACATTTTTTCAAATTATTCACATGCTAACTGTTGCAGTTGCATGTTTTCCCCTCATGTAGTTACAAAAATGCATTGGTAGGCAGAAATAGAAATCTGTTTTTTTTTTCCCCCCACCTTATTATTCTGTGGTGTTCATGCATTATTTAAATTTTAGCTTTTTTTTATCCTAAGAATCGACCTTGATCAATGGCCAGTAATGTTTCCCAGTGTATACTTTGGAATGTGTCGTACACCTTCTGGAGGACTGGACAGTATGAAATGTTATTGAAAAAATGTGTTCTATTTCTCCTGGTTTGTTTTATCTGTTCTTGATCCCTTTCTCACATTCCGGAAATGCTTTAGACTTACAGCACGTGGGCAGACTGTCTGACTGCTTAAGTGACCCCTTAAGTACGTGGATAGGTTGCATTAATGATTTGAGGTCAGGGATATGACAAGCTACAGGGTATGTACCTAGACAAAGCTCCTATTACCTAAAATATAGCAGAATGCTTTTTATAGATTGTGTGCAAGGCCGTCAGCTTTGTTACACATTACAATCACAATATTTTGTTATATATATAT